TTCTTCTCCTTACCAGAGTCAATGTTCATTACATTTGCTTTTAGTGGTAATAGTGTCATCATATCGCTGGATTTTAATTACGTATATCCAACATTAGGTGATAACTTAGTGCAAAACTATTTTCAATTGAAATATGATTAGTTTCAACGCACCTTATGATGTCACTACTGTTACATGGGGTCAGTTGACATGTAAACAGAGAGGAGAGAGTGGAAACAAAGCCCAGCTATCATCTGTCCTATCAACAGTCCAAACATCAAACAGCAATCTGTAGGTATGTACTTATTTCATAGAGGAGTAATTGGAACAGTGAGGTACATATTCCCAATTTATTACACAGCGCCACCTGGTGGTGATGAAAATCCAAGATGGCCACCAAAATATTGAGAAATTGCCTTGTTATACTGCAGTTAAGGTTATAACCTTTTGGTTTTGGATAAGTTGATGATATTTAGATATATTTAATATTGTGAAAAAGACATTTTAAATAGCAACAAATGAATGTATATATTTGTGCACTCTTGTGTATGATCTGTTGGTAGTATGCTTTATAATGTAAGAAATATTCCGGTTAGTATTTTACAAATGCAAAGTTTCAGAGAACAATTGAATGCAGACGCCTTTCAGTACTTATTTGCAAGTACACGATTCTGTTGTATTATTAGTGAGTAAGTGAGATTAGTTCTACGCCACACACAATATTCCAGCTATATGGCGGCGGTCTGTAAATAATCGAGTCTGGACCAGACAATCCAGTGATCAACAGCATGAGCATCGATCTGCGCAATTGGGAACCGATGACATTTGTCAACCATGTCAGCGAGCCTGACCAACCGATCCCGTTAGTCGCCTCTTACGACAAGCATGGGTTACTGAAGATCAATATTCTAACTCGGACCTTCATGGGTCTGTTTCCAGTGACTGATCATGAATATTGAAACTGTAGAAAGATGTATTGTACTGATATTCCTGGCCATATCTTAAACAAAGTAAGGTGGTTATTTAAAACGTACTTTCCTGATTTTAAGAAAAGAAAAAAATTCTCTGTGATTGCCTAAATGTCATCAGAAGAATATAATACATGACCGAGGCTCACGCTGTTGGTCACTGGATTGTCTGGTCCAGACTTGATTATTTACAAACCGCCGCCATATAGCTGGAATATTGCTGAACGCGGTGTAAAACTAAACTCACTCACTGGAAACACTTTCCTTCACAACTGCACAAAGCAGTGCACTTTGGACCAGCTTTGTAACATTTACAAAGGCCTGTGCAATACTTCGTACAGGTGCAGTATGTCAGTTCATAACACTGTTCCTGTGCCTGACCTAGCGTTGTCCACTATGGTATCCATGTTTTACCACATGCCAACTTCCAACCCCAGTCTGCAGGACGTGGCATAGATGCACCTCACCTTCCTGTAATGTGTGTTGTTTTAGGGTTGCCTGTGTCTGTCTGGCTTTTGTCTGACTGATGTTCCAAGTTACACTAGTTTTGTCATATAAAAGAATGACAAACAGCTCAAGGAATTGCATTGCGTTGTCAGATACAATACAATACAGGTATCTGCTGGGGCAGGAATGCTTGGTGACTTCAGGATACAGATTCCAAGTATCCCAAGATGTTTTCATCGCAATTGGTGAAGGCATGCAATACTGACAATGCCTTTTATATCGATGGAAAGAGTTCCAATTTAATGTGCAGCTATATATCCTTTGTGTTTGCCTAGGCCAAATGATATCCATACTCTAACGGTATCTGTTAAATGTTTGTTATCGTTATGACAACAACGTCTGTGTAAGCAGTACTAATCAGCACCTTTTTAGCGCACCACGTGAAGCAGCAGATATTGCAATACAAGACGAGTGTTGGCTTCTTCATGAACTCTTCTGTCAGCTGTTTCAGGAGAGGTTACAACTCTTGTCTCAAGGGTGCTGTAAATTTGTTTTCCTTCAAATTATGTTGAAGAAACCTGTTCAGAATGCAGTGCAAAAAGCTCATCTTTGCTCTCATTAACTGAGAAGAAGCTTTCTCAGTTACTTCACACAATTGATGCTTTGACTATTCTTCTTAGACCCTTGCCACCTTTTTCTATGGTGAATGCTTTAAGGCTGTACGTTAAGGTGTCCCAAAGAATATCCAGTCTGTCCTGGTGTTCAAGATACTGGAACATGTATGGCAGAAATACATTCTGGATATCGACTTGGAACATTATATGGATGTTTTGTGATGAAGCATCTGCACAATCATGGGGCCATCAAGTGTCACTGCAGAAACTTCTGGAGAAGCATCTGGTGGCTCCGCCTGTATATGTTCAAGTTGTTCAAGAAGGTCTGTACGAGATCTAATTCCTCCCATCTTGGACAATAAAGGAGGCCATGGTTGATTTTCATGCTCGAAGAAAGTCCCCTTGTCTTGGTAGACATGATATGTACAATCTGGTAAACAGAGTGCACAGTCACCCTTAAGTGATGCACAATGAGATAGGAAGACGAAGAGTCTTCAGTCTTAAAAACAGTGGCAGCTCGCTTTCTTATTGGTTCCTTTATTGGTTTTGATCTGTCAATGAACCTTTCTTTTACTAAACTCTCATATTGAATTGAATTCTTGAATCATTCTAGACGCTTCTGGTCCTGAAACCACCCATCCTGATGGGTTTTCTGTCAGTCCAACTGCCCCCCAATCTCCTTTCACAAAAGCATCGATTTCTTCATGAGCCTGATCTAGTACCATGGCAGGGAATGGTCGTTTAGTTTTATATTCTACAAATCCACCAGAACAAAATCTGTGGTACAGTGCTGAGTGTTCCACTGATAAGGAAGACATGTTTCTGATGTGAACTGAAAGCGAATGTGCATAGATGACATGATCTAACATAAAGACCCATGGTATTACTCTGACAAGTAATTGCTACATACTTTGGGGAATCTGCTTTTCGAATTGCACCCACCAGGCACAATGTGCAAAGTTCAAGTTCAGGAACAAAGGACAAATACTGAGACTAGGATTGAGAAGCTGACTTTGCATCACACCAACTTCTAAAAGTAAAAAGGTCTTCTTTGTTTGGTTCTGTTTCCTGATAGTGAGCATATGCCTGTTGTAGTAGGAAGAGTGTAGCGGATGTGATCTGATGGACATGTCTTGTTCTAGCAAGGTGGGTACACTTGATGAAGGAATCAGCAAACCCAGCTACGCAAATTGCAGTTGTCCGTCAAATCCGAGGATCCTGAACGCAGCTATTTCAATACCCAATCCACCAAACCTGATATAAGGAAACAGGCATCACCATATGATTCCGGAAAATTCCATTGGATTGTTTTAGCTTTTGCATACAGGTAGATGACCTGGCTGTAACTGCTCAACAGCTTTCTTTGCTACATTCATTGAATGCTGTATCGTAGCAACAGAGTGTGCACATTCTAAAAACAGTGGCATAAGCGCAATTGTTGTTGGAGGGCCTGTTAGTGCATTGTATGCTGCCCATGAGAGATAAACATCATTATTACCTAGTTCTCATAATGAAGTATTGTGTTCACACAATGTTCATCTTGAGTAAAAGGTCATTTCAAAGGCGGCACATAATGATCCGTCTTGGTAAAACATAATGGGGGTACACTCATATAACGGCAGCTTGACAATGATCTTCCTATTTCTTCCATCAGTTGAACTTTGTTTGATGTTCCCTCCCATTCAACCTTTGGGTGCCTCATTAATGAAATATCCATCACAAGAATGCTCTCCAAAATGCAACGACTGCTACCAGCAGCCATCTTAGATTGTTCAAAGGTACTATGCATATACCAACTGAACTGTGCATATTTGGGGGATTACAAAAGCTCACACACACACAAGCTCGTTTAACACATTGACTCCTTCTTTCTTTGATATGGGGTCATTAATTTCTTTGAGAAGATAAACTTATTGTAGAGACAGGTGGTCATAAACTTTTAAAAAGGATTCACTCTACTTTAAAGGGTTTACTCAGCCCTTGAAAGCAATTGTCCAATTCACAAGTGACTGTCTGAAGAATCCTACGCATGAAGACTTGACCATTACTGCCAAAACGTTGTCTGAAGACAGTACTTCGTTGTTTCAAAAAGCACACTGCTCCAACACTGGCATTGAATACAGATACCGATGTTGTTTGTGCATTCAGACATGCATACGTTTTGCCAGCAACATTTGAAAACTAACAAGAAAGAGTGAAAGACTCTTCTTGACACACCAGCAATCAACTGCTGTCAACCTAGAAGTGTTCAAGGGCATGAGGGGCGGTGGGGTAGCCTAGTGGTTAAAGCGTTGGCTCGTCACGCCGAAGACTCGGGTTCGAATCCCCACATGGGTACAATGTGTGAAGCCCATTTCTGGTGTTCCCCGCCGTGATGTAGCTGGAATATTGCTAAAAGCGCCGTAAAACCAAACTCAGTCAGTCAGTCAGTCAGTCAGTCAGTCAAGGGCATGAACAATCTAACTGTGAGGCATCAGTATAAGGGCAACATAGTATCACAGTATCACGTCATTATTAAACCAGAAATAAAATAGCAAAATAATTTAATGTACAGTAGTTACTTTTCCTACAACATTTACTCAACACGGGTCTATTTCATACTATATGAATATTCAATGTTTTACATCCATGTGACTGTGTCCTTCACACACAGATCTTGATATACACGGTATCTTCTTAGTAAAGAAGCGCACTAACCTCTCTTTCTCCATTGGAATCTCATGGAATAACCTAGCGCACACCTTCCAGGGTCTACCTTGATTATTGTGACCGATGTTCAAACACATCGTATGAATTTGTTTGGGGTATTTTTTGGCTTAAAATATAACTAAAATGCTAACATGATGATGATGTGTAAAACACATCAGACAAAAATGAAATTGTCACAGACAATAATTAACAAAACTTGCATGAATTTACTGTACGGTTACCCATAAACTTCCATGATTCATATATAAATTCGCAGGATATTAATGGAACCGACGAATCTTACCTTTTCACTGATCATCACAGCAATCAAAGTCACATTACAGAACTGACAAAGGCTCAGGCAAAAGATACCAGCGACGTAAAACAGTTCTTCCATACCCAGATGTCCTCTTGTCAAACCAAACACCATACAACATATGATGGGGATGGTGGACAAATATGTCAGTGTGACAAATGGTTTCATAAACATATCAGCTGATTGTTGTAGTTCGGACAGAGAGAGGTTCTCGTCCCACAGTTCCTGAAACGTGGCCTCAAACAAGTCAGTCTTTCCTTGATAGAGCTCCTTGAATTTTCTTGAGAAGAACTGAAACTCCTTGTAAAGACAGAAACTCACGATATTGTACACAGCTATCATTGTGTAAAAACCGAAAGTTCCAAAAATTGTGACCACTGATATTACAGCCATGAGAATTATTGAAAAGGGTCCAGCAGGTACGTCAAACGGCGCATCCAGGTGATTGGATGTTAAGAGCAGCCAAGCCTGACAACCAAAATGAATAACACACAGAACTGTGATAACTACATATGATGTTTTCCTGAGTTTGGAATAGTATTCTCTCAGGTCAGTGGTTTGACAAATTCTTCGAAATAACAGCTCCTCAAACCTCTTGAATCTGCCATCTACAATAAAGGTCAGAGATAGCATCAAACACGCAGTTTCTATGTAGAAGGTCAGATACGCTGCTGACGTGATGGAGTTTCTGGTTGACTTCATGTTGCTGAGGTACGTCAAGAGAAACTTAGTAGCTCCGAAGATGGCACTCGCTGTACAAAATACGCAGTACAATACCATGAGGATGTTACGACACCTGCTTCTCCTGCCAGTCAGATCCGTCCCAACATAGAATCCACCAGCCCGTAGGTACCATTTCATTGTTCTAAATAATTGTACACTTTGTATTCTATTGCTCTCTGTGCAGGACTGGTATGGTTGGACTTTCGTGGTCATCTTGTCTTTGGTGCTCCGTATGTACCCCCAGTACACCAGTGCAGTACTATTATGATCTCCAGGGCAACAGGACAAATATTAGATAGAGGTATGGTCATGTGATATGTCTTGATCAACCCTAGTTGAATTTTCAAACACACAACGCATGAAAACCCAAGGATGCAATCATTGCATATGGGTTTTGTTTGATCAATCGGACACTCGTTAAAAGGTATGTGAATTCAGGATGTGACTGGGTAGGCACCCGGGAAATAGTGGTTCCAGAATTAATGTAACAGTTACTGCAACATAATTCCTACACTTTCGTTGGACACATCGTTAAACTGTGACATCGTATTGCATTATTGATTTATAACCTGTTTATTGCCCATTGATCTTCTACAGTCATTTACTGATTACACAAATGTATTCTGTGATGGAATATGTGTGTGTGTAGACAAATACTGCACAGATTGCACGAAAATGGAGGTAAAATCTGTAATTGCGCCTTTGTGAGGCATTTAGGTAACATACCACATGAGGATATAACGTTCAATCACTGTAACTTGATACCACAAAATCCCAAATGTATTGAAATCAACAGACAAGTGAAATGGTTTAACATACTGAAAACAGTTTCCAGTTACCGGTTGGTCGTTTGATACGGGTCTACAGTTTCATTATCGTATATTCCCTCTGTTTTCTGTAGATTTTTCTTTCTTTCATCTAATCGGCATTGCTATCGTTATTTTAATAATACCAAGGTACATTACCTGCCAAACCTTTCCGTTGCAATTTGGACAAACTCGCGGCACTGGCATATTTCTGTGTACATTAGTCTTGTTACTGAAAATATTGGAAAGATGCGTTGTAGCCATCAGTCGAATCACTCTTAGTCAAAATAAAGCTTGTCAATGTCTATTCGATAAGTGTCACTTGAAAACTTAAAACATTTTCCTTTGTGTAATTACTGAAACCATACAAACGGATTAAAAAAATTATATTATTTTTAATTCCTTTTTACCCAATTTTATCAGTTGTATGCTTCTCTCGAGGGTAATACGGTCTGATGTACGCCTCTTTGCAGCAGTGTCACCCAAGCCGTATTTATCTTATCACCATGTGAAATGTACAAAACATCATTTTATTTTATGTTAAAGATCGCGACCGACTCTATGACATGTAAACAAAATGGCGTCTGCCTATCGACTGGATTTTTAAAATCAGTGAAACCATATTCTGACATGCTTAAAACTGCTATAAAAATGGTTGATTATGTTTAAGTTGAGGTGAGGTGAGGTGAAATTGGGTTTAACGTCGTGATTGAGAATATTTCGCTCATATAACGACGTGATGTTTAAGCTGAGTGTGCAAACCACTCAATGTATAAAATAGCTTACATAAAGCAGTGAAAGTCGGTAAAATATATCTGTACAAAGTGAAGACAAAAACAGCTGATCGAACGGTTTTCAACTCCGGGCACGACATGCATCAATTTATGACGTCATACGATTGTTAGCGATTCAGCTTATCGGCGGAGAGCCTGGCGGTTACCGTTGCAGAGGGTAATATTTTTTCCAGTTGTCACCCTTCTGGGAGGGGTGACACGGAAACTTGTCAAAGCGTCATTGACCAATGAAATTACAGTATTTTACATGAAGGTAAGATAGTGAGCATTATTTATAGTCTTTGTCTGTTACACTTTCTACCAAGTTAAATTCTCAACTCTCTACAATAAAACAGTACAGCCAGCCTGTAACTGCTGGGGTATTGTTAACTCTAACGTCTTCGCCGATTCTGGGACAAAATACATCCGTAGTAACTCAAACGGTTTCTATAGTACTTCACTAGGTCCTCGAAGGGGTTAAAGTATCGTAAAATTATTGTCCTCCAGAGAGGATACACAAGTCCCAAAACTTTCAAAGTTAAATTTAAACTTACCAGATTTTTAAAACGTAGTATTTTTGTTCTTTTATAGTTAAATATTTCCTACAGTCGCCAGCGGCTGAAGGGATGGTGTAAACCCAACTAGGGTCCATGCAGTTTGGCAAAGGCACTGTAAGTCCCCATGGACCCTAGTATTGTGATCTACCTTAAGTTGTTGGCGACCTATAGCCAATTTTTATATCGTATTGTCCTTATTTGAAATCCAATGTTTAGAGAGAAATGCTAGTATTATTTCTTGATACTGTGATGTTCTAGTTGGTTTTACTCTCCTTCGATGACAGGTTTTTATAATTTACATGTATTTGTGGTGAATTCTAAACTTGTTTTAGTCACGATATGGCTGACATATTGCCGATGTGACTGTAAATCGTAACTCACTCACTCACTACTCACTTCACTAGGTTGTCAGGTTGTGTGACTTATGAACGTGTGTCATTATGCACTGATGTCATGGATGGTTTCTAATGATTTTGAGCATTGCCAGACGGACCTAATCATACATAATGTTGCTGGTGTTTTGATGACTATGGCATTACACATGTTTTATTTATGCATTCCGCACTACATTATAATTTGATCATCACTACCACCTATGTGATTCTGCTCCTTACCACTGTCAATATTCATTACATATGCTTTTAGTGGTAATGACACTGGATTTTATTTACGTATACCCTGGATCAGATGATACATTACTGCAAATATATATTCAAATGAAACATAAGTACTTTTAACACACATGTCACTAGCTTTACATGGTGTCAGTTGACATGTTCACAGACACCCAGCTGACAACAGTACAAATAACGAACAACGCATGTTTCATATATACGCCAAAACTTTCGGCTGACCGAAAAAGTTCACACAGAGACAAGTGCTGGTTCCAGACCTCGTGGAAATGTGGCTCAAACAACTCCTTCGGTCTTTGATATTGATTCATGAATTTATTTGAGAAGAGGCAGTTAGTCATAACATTATAGACAGGTATCACTGCACTGTGCTCTATCCTTCCCATGAAAGTAATTTTCCAATTTACGTGTAACAAATGAGACGCTTGCAGACATGATCATTACAGCCAAAAACGTCAGTTGAAGAGTCATCACCAACAGACCAACATAATCAGGTCAGACATCAACTTAGTGCAGAGACAGGCGGTCATAACCTTATATAAAGCTTTCACTGTACTAAGATTTATGCTTCTCTTCGTAACAATTTTCCAATTCAGTGACAGCACGAAGAATGGAACGCTTGAAAACATGATCATTATAGCCAAAATGTTGGATGAAGACAGTATCAATGGTTGTGGAGTCATTGCCAACATACCGAATAAGGTTTGTCGTCAATAGTAATTTAGGGTAAGACACTTTAACTTCCATTATTTGAGAATAACGCAAATCCGGCACGCTGTACAAAACTGTTTCAAACACAACATTTGAACAGAGAAGACAAAATGTACATACATACATATCACCCCTCAATGCTGCTGGTAACAGACTATGATCCGGGTTTCTGGTAAATATCAACATTGTTTCACCATATGTGCTGATGAAGGGTAATGATGACCATTTACCAGAATCATGAACAGTTGGACTTCCATCAAAATGAATGAATGTAATCGTTTCTCCAGTTCTGGAGATCTCGGGTTATATCGTAATGAGTTACTCAGCGTTACAATATGTTAGCTTTAATTTGGTTACAGAATGAAATACCTTAAAGGCAGTAGGCCAGGGCAAGTTCAACAAGCAGCAAATGTTTCACTCACTTAAATATCTATGCCAAATAATATAACCTAGTAAGGTTTATGTATTGTCCCAAACGAATACGGTGCAAAAGTAAGCATTTAACACACGATAGTATTCATGTTCTAGACAAGGCAAAGTTAGATAGCATTGAATACCATGTATGGGAGCCGAATTGGAATAAAAATGTTTAACAATGGAGGGTGATCCCGTACCCCATTGACTATACTACTATGCATAATTAAACGTCTCTGTACGTTAATGTTAAGGACAGAAAAATGATGCATTGTACAATAAAGCTTTAATATCCAATCATCAACATGTCACACTAGTTTCAATACCAGGCCTTGCCTGTATAGGATGTAATACACTAACTGACTCTGTGAGACCTAGAATTTGCCGTCGAGGTTATCTGATCTGTTATTGTTGCAAACCCTGTTCCATTTCGTTAAGGCCTCTGTACATGTTGAGGAAAATTTAACTGTTTTACTTATTTTACCTGCTAGCATGCAAAGGAACACTATTTTCTAGAAGCTATATAGTTAAAATTTACACTCAGGGTTCACATTCTCGTTCGAACATAAACCCATGAACATGACCAAACATCAAGTAATGGCATGCATGTTAAGGCTTCCTTACAAGATGAGACAAGGATGATTTACTTTGTAGACGGATCCTCGACTCGGACTGAATACGTGGAACACGGAAGCAAGAACACTACGTATGAGTGCAAAGATAAACAACAGGTCGTAAAATCGTGCGAAAAACCTCGACAATTCAGCCACCTCTGTCTATCGTTCGAAACACAAACCCTTAATATATGTGATGGTTTCAGCAGGGATAACTCGGAGAATGCTGTGGAATTGCATTTGCAAGCCCAATGGTCAAAATATAACAAATGATTAGGGATATCAGGTCAACATTAGAAATTATATATTTTCACAGGCCACCATCTCTTTTACCCACGGAAATACAGGTTACATTGTCAAACTTTAAGATATAAACATTTTGAATACTATTTGATATGTTACATACACCTGACTATGATTACAACCAAGACCTTGATGAGCAAACTACCACTTTTGTCAACGTTTATACATAACACGAATAATGAAATCTCAAACTGTGATTTACATTCATTACTTATATTAAACAAATTTAATACACACCTACAAATGATATAAAAAAGGAACCAGGACACAACATGGTATGTCCGTGTCGTGTAACCGTCCCTAAGGCATGCCAGAAATATATGATCGTCTGTTTGAATCCTCAGAAGGAAAGTCATTTGGAACAGTTACATAAGGGAATGTGGATGTGCACGTGGATGTGGAAATGTAGATGTGAATGATGCCGGTGTTTAGGATCGGGATTTGGGTACGGATGTTAGGTGTGTTTATGAATTTGGATGTGAAGTTGGAAATAAGATGAGCAGATGGATTTTGATGTGCATTTAGATTTT